TGTGACGGGGATTCGAACCCGCGAGTCGAGCGCCTTAACCACCTGGCCATGCCGGGCCTGGATAACAGTTATGTAAGCTTCATTTAGAATTAGTTTCGTATTCATAATCATATTATCTTCTATAAATTGGCTTATCATAAGACCACGAGTCGTTGCTATGTGAAATAATGCGGAAGAATGACACTGGTGTGTTTTACTTCTTGTAGCACAGATAATCTAAACGACAGATTCACTGTATATGGATACACACCTTCGCTCTTAATAAAGAAATAATTTCCTAATGTTTCGTATGGTTACGTTCCAAAACTAGGTTCTGTAAAATACTGAAATTTCATAGGTTATTTTCATAATTCTTATCTTTCATTACTAGCAAAGATCATTCAGTATTTAACTATTTTTTTCCTTACTAGCAAAATTCGTGTAATACTTTTGTATAGTTTTATTTATTATAGGAAAATATCAACCAATATTTATATACATTTTTTCATTATCATCACAAAGTTAATTCAGTACTTGAGTAGGTTGGGTTTTTTCAGTTAATTTAGTTATTTTGACTAATGAAGTGTGATGTCAGGTTGCGAAGGGTAATTTATAGCCCTAAACCAAACAGTTTGTGATAAGTTTCCTAAAACAATTTACGTTGTGCATTGCACTTTGGGACTTGCTAACCACTGACACATTTTAAGAAACAAATTTCCAAGCCTCAAGGTTCAATTGATAAGCGTGAATTTCTTACATTGTCCCAAATACAGCTGCTATTTTTATAACGAAAGTGAGCGAAAAAAACGTCTGTTGACTAGACATATTTATATTATACAACTTGAAGCACATATAACCACGTTGAAGATGGAATTTGGACTATGAACCTAAATAACAAGAAGTAAGTCTACACACTGATCTATCAATTATTTATAGATCAGTGGTACAGAGCCCAGTTTTTTCATTCATGTCGATTATGAAAAACAAAACAAAAACATCTTGTGCTCAAAGGGGGACGAAACGTTTCAAACAAGTACATTTCATGCTCTCTGGTAGAGATATTATACCCCGTAAGCAAACGCAGCACGATATTTATAGCCTCCATTTCGAAGTAGAGTGATACTTAATGTTGCATAATGTGGTTAGTGAAACGCTTAAACATAGTGTTTTTGTGGATTGTTAACAATGGATTACAAACAAGAAAAAAAATAGAAATATAAATAAAAAAGAAAGTAAACCTGTCTCTCCACTGAGTACTCTAAAATTTATTTTAAACGAAGCATATATAGGAATGTGTATTGCTTAATCATCAGCAACATGCTACATCATATTACTGCTTAAATTTTTTTAAGATCGAATTAAGCTTAATTTATAAACGCAACAGACCTGGAAATATATGGATTCTTAGATTTAAAAGTAAACTGGCTTCTCATCAGAACACTCATGATCTATTCAGATCAACTGAAACTTCACATAATCATCTTCATATACGAGATGCATATTAAGTTAATAGGAAGGATTAAACTCGATTAAACAAGTAAATGTGATATTATAGAAGAGACATACTGAGGATGGATGTATTCTTATAAGTAACTATTCCTCAGTCAGGAAGTCAGAAGAAACTTTGTATTGTTTATTTGTTTGTAGTTGAGCACAAAGTTACACATGGGCTATCTGTGCTGTGCCCACCACGGGTACCAAAACCCGCAGACTTACCGCTGTGCCACTAGAGGGCAGAAATTTTGTATGTTTCGAAGATGTCATTATATATTTTACATCAAGTTAAAGCTTCTAATAAAGCGTTGGTACTTCATTAATTTGCCTTTTGATGTCTATCACCAGGTTGCGGGTTAATATGCCTTTTGAGATCTATCACCAGGTTGCGGGTTAATTTGCCTACGTTTTGGCACTTCGTCTCAGTTTGAAGTGACGTTTTCGATTTTACTCAGTTAATATTATGTATGCACTCTTGTTAGGGACTTTTCAGAACTTTGTAAGAATGTCAAAGTGATATCAAATCCATGTTATCGGTTTACTATATTAAATATGAATTTCTTGTACAATAACACAAATCATGAAGGAATGGAGGAAAATAACTTGAATCTATATCTGAAGCAGTCGTCCTAACGGAAAAATTCCAAACTATTCGCGAATGTAATAAAAGCTCTTATCCCAAAACGTCGGCCGAATTGCTCTACTGGCTCCTCAGCTCATGCATTGAATGCTTGAAATCAAGCATAGTTGATAATTGTATAGTTCTATAAGCGTGCACGTGTCAGGAGTGGAGTTTCTCTGACATCAAAACTAACATCTATAAATCAGTGTCTTTTCGGTAAGCTTTTATTTCCACATGATAAAAGAATTAATGGCAAATGTTCTGTATTATATTTTATATTTAATAAAGATCATCAGCACAACGCTTTACTTCCCCCTGCACAGTTCTGTACGGGCAGTAAGTTTTGTTGACGTAATGTTGCAAAAGTTAGGGTAAATCTTAATGAAGTCTTCTAACCTTCATTTATATTCATTACTTAATCAACAATGTCCATATAGTTCAGAAAAACAAACAGTCTGCAATTCTGTTAGTTTCTAAACTACTCAAATGTATACAGCTGTTATACTCGTAGTCAAAGAGCCTTATAGCATCACAACTTATATACTTAAACATTAACTTCGGTTGTCCATTCTGACTTGGAAGATGGATCATTGGATATTCAGTCATGACCAGTGCAAGGACACACGTTCATCCCTACGGCTTCCTAAAGTTGACCTACGTAAGCTTGATAATGAAGCGTATGTGTGTGCGCGTGCAGTCCAAATAAATTCCGTATTTTGATTTCAACTATTTCAAGCTAATCACTTGAAAAATTAATTATTTTTAACAATATGTTTTATTTATTTTTTGTAAATTTACCTTGGGTTTTTATCATACTAATCATGATTTAAGACACTTTTCAATCAGAATAGAGATAAGTATAGAATAATTACATATATATAATATACCGTTTTACAATTCTTCGGTTTATTCCTTTCTAGTTAAAAAAATAATGTACTTTCACAGAAAACTTCCTAAACATTATTGGTTCTTGTCAAAACCTTGAAATCCGATTGAACGCAGAAAGGCCTTTAACAATGTAGATCATAGCAGAAAGGTGATGCTCTTACATGTATCAAAACAAAAAAGAGGAGTATTTTCATTATATTTGTTGCTTTTACATTCAAGTGTAGCAATATAAATGACAGGCCGCCAACGGCTTTACGGAACATTTTAGTTGAATGCCTATATGTGTAAGTAAATATCTATAAATGAACTTAAATATATCTAATGCTGAACACGTTTTCACACATTCAACCAATTACATGGGCTGATACTGTCTTAAGGAGTATAGTCGATACTTCTGTGACGTAAGAAGTTCGTGTTGCGCATAACATATTGTATACATCTTAGAGATACCCACTGAAATTATCAATCCAGCATTAATGAAATTTAAAAGTGCATTGCCCTTTATTGCATCGGAAGACTTGTCTACGGCAGGACAATTTTAGTCTTACAGCTTACGGGAAGAGAGATTCAGAGTGGGGATTGGGGTGTGAGATGTGGAACATAAATATTGATAGTTATTTAGGATAGAAAATTAAACTGCATCCCTCTTAGGCCACGTTTCCAGTCATCCCTTGTTTAAAACAGCGTAGTGTCCTACTTCTGCGACGATGTTCTTACTAGTGCTAGTAAACTGTGGATTTTTATTTTGGCCTACATACGAAGCAAAAGCAGGTAAACTACCTGGACCCATACACACACACACACACACACACACATACATCAGAATGCACCACTTAAAGAACCTTGCTTTGAAACGTGGGGCGGCTTTTCAGACCAGAATATTTTCCCACGAGCACAATATAGAAAAAAAAAAAACGAAAAAAGTTCAACCCGCTATCCCTGTCCACAATCAGGCAACACTAGGGTGCATTATTTCCGCTACTCTTGGTATGTGCTCATGTATAATAGCATTGACACACAACTTTTTTTAAGAGTGGTAAAAAATATGAACTTTAAACCTTGAAAGTCTCCTGAAAAATAAACTAAAACCATCTAATTCTAAACTCTCTTTTTGCCAGCATTTTTAGCTTCATAAATTCTTAGATGCACGCGTTTGTAGCATATAAGTTACAAATTAGATCATTGGCCTTCTGTGATTGGTTCAAAGAAATTTACTGTAATTGATTTCCTGAGCCAACCACTTCGTATTCAAGATTTATCAAACATTCCAGTAAACTGGAAAAGAAAAGCATAAAAACAAAAAAAACAAGTATAATTAATACACCTATCTATATTATAGATGTGATAATCCTTTTATTTTAAATATTATAATTAGAACAAATTATCTTATAATTCTACTTACATCGTGAAAATCTGCCATTGCAGAGGCCATTAGTTGAAACGGTGGAACAGGGGGCCAGGACAGCCTGGCTAGTGAAAGAGGTTCCTCCGACTTGTAAATTCTGCTACGTTCCGTCTCACCTGTGTATCTGGTTGAAGCACGAAGTGTTCTCGCACCTGTCTGCTGTTCTGAGTCCTAAATAGACAACTCCTGCCCCCTGTTGACAAACTGGGAAAACATTGCGAATGAAGTTCGGATCTAGATTAACAATGGCAGAAGGAGGAATGAATGAGCGAGACTTGGTTAACCGCAGGCCAACGGGTTTCCCGATGTATTGAAGGTACTGTGACGGGGATTGCTCGTTCAGTTACGGGTTTCTTTCTGATGTCTTTGCCCGGCAGAAGCTTCATGATATCGTCTGTAAGCGTTCTGTATCTTTCAGCAGGTTTAGGTGTACTATCTATCAAATGAACGGGATACTTATTTTCCCAGATCAACTTCTTGAATACCTACATATTGTTTGGACATTACTTTGCAGGTTAACGACACTTAAAACTATAATATCCCATAATCAAAAACAGAATATTAGTCCAAAGGTGACACATCGGGTGGCTTAAATTTCACGAGCGGAAAGAAGTCTGAGCTGATTATCAATGTTTAGAAAGCATCGGAAGCTTACGGCCCCTCGTATTAGTAAGCATTATCATGAAAGAAAATATACAGCCCTGTTTCATGGTATAAACGCTAATATATGAGTATTAATTTTAGGACTTCATTCTTATTATCATGTACGATTGTAAAATCCTCTAGTTAAAAGACGTTTATCGGTTTATTTAACCCTAATATTGCGGCTGACATCATGTGATGTTAGCGTAGACGACTGCGGTTGACATCATATGATGCAAGCATTTTGCGCACAACATTTTGAATGGCCCGTCGCAAAAATTCGAGAATTTTTGCGCATGGGGTGGTAAGCAGATTTACACAAGCCGGAAACGAAGTGTTAAGGAACAATCTGCTTTGCTTTGAATTCAATTTAGGATATTTCGGTGGCATACGGTTGAAACAGGGTTTTGGTGAAAACGTACATGTTTGTGTACTCATGTTCTTTTAAATGTTTGTAATCTGCACAAATTTCTCTTTTATCTAAACAAACCAAAAAAAACACTCTATTCCCGCAGTTAGTGAACGTTACATATTAGTTAGTCGATTAGATTTTACAGTGTTTCCCAAAATGGGAGCCGCGGGCCCTCTGGGGCCGTGAAGCCTTTTCTGGGGGTCCGCCAAAAAATGGGCCGAAAACAAAGATGCTGAATTAATTATACTTCTAAATAAACAATAAGCTGATAAAAAATTATGTTGAATTAATTAAACGATTCAGTACGTCGAAAGGAGATGTTATTGTTTTTACTACGGTACTGTTTTTCAATCACCATGCTAAAGTTATAGGTTGGAGTCATCAAACTTTTTATTCGCATCAAGGGAGTCACAGAGTAAAAGGGTTTGGGAACCATCGGATTAGAATGTAGCGAAATTTCTATTGTTTACTTCAGCAAGATTACGAAGCTGTTCATATTAGAGAAAGTGGTTTCTTTCAAACAGAGAATGGTTGTAGTGGAGACCCAGTTCATGAAAATATGAGCCTGAAAATAGTTATAATTAACTACACGTTGAACAGTCTATATATTGAACTTCATATATACGTTATTACGTCAGCATTACTGTACTTAAGATAACAATAGGAAATGAAACTAAAAATAACTATTTTGGGATACAAACAAGAACGAATTTGATTACAAATTGTGTATTCCGAGTGTATTGGTTCAAATGTTTGGAATAATCACATGGTGCTAGTACAAGTAAGTTACCATTATTTAAAGATATAATAACAGGCAATAGACGTTGTAGGATACTATAAGAAGCATTGTTTTTATCCCGCATGAGTACAACACTTGTCAGTTAGCACAACGTGAAGAGTTGGGTGTCTGATGTTCTTCACATATATTTTTCTCCCTTTTTACGTGTCATATGTTTTAATAACTGATTTATCCAAAGCTAAATACAGTTCTTGTGAGGCAACTTTTCAATTTCTATTGATCTGACCACGACATATATATTAACTCAGAGATCACTACTTAGTAGTGTCCTACCGGTTAGTCTGTTCTGCACTTCGTTGTTAGTTTTATAGAACGGTTTGTTATAATACTATTTGTTTATTCAACCCCACTAAGCTCTACTTGTTGTTACAATAAATCTGAAAAACAAAATTAAATTCACTTAAGGTTACTTGGTACATTATTGCCTACATTGTCAAGTTTTATTATATTTTTTAAATAATTAAGTCCATAAAAAAAACATATAATCTTCCATTTTGATACACATCTGTCTTTCACTTATCCTCTCTGATTTGGTTGAAAGGATTGGGTTTGTTCTGAATTTCGTTCAAAGCTACACGAGGTCTATCTGCGCTAGCCATTCCTAATTTAGCAGTTCTAGACTAGAGGGGAAGGCAGCTAGTCAACACCAACCACCGCCAACTCTTGGGCTACTCTTTTATCAACGAATAGTGGATTTGACCGTCTCATTATAATGCCTCCACGGCTGAAAGTGAGAGCGTGTTTGGTGGGACAGAAAGATTACTACCTAAGTTGTAGTCAGTTTTGAAATAATAATAATACTAATTTGTTATGGAAACGAGCTATTTTTCTTTTCAGGATTCTTCGCTGTTGTCTTGACTTATAAATTTAACAATGTGCATTTTAATTGGAAAGTCGTTTAAGGTTAAGAGAAAGCGTGCTATTTCTCAACTAATCGTTGAGTTCAAAATAATTTTATCTTTAAGGGACACAACTAGGTGATACGCTTTATGGTCGGGCGAGGCAGAGTACTTATGGTGCTCGGACCGTGAATTCAATAATTCGTGGTTCATGATTTGTTACCACAAAAGTGCGTTCCACACTTTGGATGCGTTAGTGCGCTATTAGAGTAACGGTCAAATCTCATTATTCGATCAAAGTTGAGTAGCTCAAGAATTGGTGGTAAGTGTTGTTGAGTAGCTGCATTCCTTTTAACCTTCTAGTTCAAAATTAAGGACGGCTACGCGTAGGAAGCTCTTGTGTAGCTTTGTGTAAAATTCTGAAACAAAAAAAATCTTTTGTATTAGCCGTTTACTGATGATAACTAAAGATAATATAAAAACTTTGACTTAGATATTCCAATAATTTGTTCGAGCTACATGAATATAGAAAATAACCGTGTATAAAATTTTTTATAAAGTCAAAGATATATCTGTGTACGTGTATAGCACAGTACAAGAGGTCACATACAGGTCAAGTTATAAGAAACTGCAGAATATAAATAATACAAGCAACTGTTTCCAGTGGGTCAGCGGTAAATTGACCGAATTACAACACCTGAAATCTGGGGTTCGATTCTTCGTGATGTACAGAGCTCAGATAGCCAATTGTGTAGCTTTGCGGTAAACAAATAAACGCATAAACTACTGTGATATGTCAAAGTCATATCGTAACTAACTGCGCACGTAATTTATTGCATTTGGCACTTTTCGCGCACATGCTAAGTGTTTCTCTAAACATTAAACAAAAGTAAAAGCAGCTATATTTTCATAAGCTCTGAAGTTTTACTCAATATCGTTAATGAACATTGGTTAGAATCATTATGGTTTTAACAAATCAAAAAGTCAAAATCCAGAGTCATTTGGAAATATTTCATGATGGCTAATCATCATGGTTTATAAAAATCCGAAGATAGTTTTTCATGTCACTTAGATAAATTTCATGATGATTTTTAAAAGAATCCAAAGTTAAAATTTATGTTAGTTTTAAAACCACGTATAGATGATATACTGAGAAATAATCAAATTCCAAAACAGTAATTTAATTGAGGAATTATAAGCAGTTTCACAGTTTGCAAAATGTTAAGCATTTTAGCGATAAAGATAGAAAAAAAAACAATCTTTATCTTCTAGATAATAATATAAAAAAACCTACGTATGTACACATGTCCACATCATTCAATTTAGTTATATAAAAAAAAAACATCTACATAACAGATAACTAAAAGTTATAGTGAGTAAACTAATGATCCAGTCTTTAAGTATTGTTAACACTTTTATTCATCCAGTCAGTCTTGCTCTTTCTTCTTAACGTGAGGATAGGCGTGAGGGGATAATTACTTCAGTTAACAGACAGTATTGTTGTCCAGGATAGTAGAATATTATTGTACGGGCTAATTACTTCGAAATAACGCAGACTAATAATACTGCAAAGAACCTCACAGTTTTCTTGAAATATGTTTCTTGTAGATATAAGTAGAGCTTTTAAACAGCATATGAGTATTTGTATTCATACATACAGGGATAACTATACATATACATATCTAAACAAGTTTGTTTGTTCGATTTACTGATATATCCGAATGATGCTAGATAAATTAATGAAATATATAGATAGCTATATAGATAACCGCAAACTTTATCTCCAAAAATCAAGTGTTTCTTTGAACTGGTAAAGAAGAAATAATGACTAGATCAACCTGTCACTTTTTAGTAAACGTGTTCTACGTTTCTGTATGATATTATATAACAAACTATACATATATATATTCATATGGATCATACACACATCTGTCTTGTTTATTTCGTCCGTCAAGTCTGCTTCCTCCGTTTGATTCGCACCAACATTTTTTCTCCACTATAAACGATGAGCTTGTAACAATTTTACCGGAAACAGGAAATTACGTTTTTGAACAGGCAGGTGAAACTTATAATTCCACGCAAGGTATGTATTTTCAGTCAACTATGACCACCTTGAAAGCACCGCATCGAATGCTTTTATCTTTTTTTCTTTTTTGATAAATATAATACATTATTCGTTCCAAAGGATATTGAAATACCTTTCGTCACCATCGAAACCTCAACTAATATATACATTTACACACAAAAAATCAGAATGTTCTGGTGTGTTCTTAGTGTATATTTGTCAACTACAGAAGCAATGTTTGACCATCGTTTCTGAAACACACACACTTTACGATGATAGTCATATCCCCTGGCAGTTTGTTGAAGTTTTGTTTATAGAAGTATAAGTCAAGAAAAAACAGGTCTTATGAAAGATTCACTTGTCTCTTTTTACGTATTGTTTGA